CCAGCTCAACTCCAGTTACTGCCAAAACAACCAGAGCCGGCCTCTGTCTCGTCGCAGTCCAGTGACAGCCCTTTCATTCAGTCTGTGTGAACTTCCCCTTCTGCTGTGTTACATCTAGCAAAGATGTCATTTGTAATTTTTCACTAGTGCTCTGTCTCTGATTATATTATATTATATTATATTATATTATATTATATTATATTATATTATATTATATTATATACTGTAGATGTAGAAGCAACTATAAGCAACTTTAACCAGTCTGGAATTTCCAGCAGATTTAGCTACTGAATTAGACACCTCCCCAAAAAGATCAACAGGCAGAACATGACTGTCTTCAGGCTAAAATTGCAAGTTTAACAGACACATCACAGTCCTATTTTATTCTGTAATTCTTAAAATTGTAAATTGATGAGTGTATCTAATGCATACACTCATCAGGGTATTACATCAGTACATATTGACTTGGCTGATTTTAAGTTACATTAAGACAGTTACACAAGTTACATTAAGACAGACCAATGTATACAGTATTTCTGTCATTACTCCCAGCATCATTCTGTAAGCCTCCTGCACAAAGTAACAAATAAGCACTCAAGCTGGTCTTTACTCAATGTAATAAATTCATTAAAAGTAGAACTAGAGGACATAATGGAATTATTCTTTTACAACTCCCACATGGCACACAGACAAAACTCCCCGGTTAATACTCTAATAGACTACTGGAAACTATTTTACACATGATGATGAATCATCTTATGCTGGAATAGCAGCAATTCTACAACATGTTGGTATCATTTGCAAATCAAGATGGCAATAAAAAAATAAATTGGGAGGAATAAACATTATTACACAACAAACCCTAATATTCCCCGCTTAGTGTTATACTAGATAAGTCTTTATCCTGGAAACCTCACATTAGTGCCATAAGTACAAAAATAGCCAAAGTGGTCAGTAATGTATACTATGAAAATTTGACATTTGATTGCTAAAAAAAGTGGCAGTTATGTTGTATTATTCAACGTTGTACCCTTATATCAGTTACAGTAATGTTGCTTGGGCTAGCACCCACCCAACTAAACTGGAATCTATTTTTCGACTTCATAAGCAAGTTTTAAAAGCTGCAGTCCGGGGTTTTTTCCTCTTTGTCGTGATTTCTGTTCGAAATCTGCAATGGCAGTCATTCTCGGAATTACGTGAGTTGTACTTCAACACCGTCTACACGGCACAGCTCAGGCACGACACGGCACAGGATGAACACAATGTTTGAGGAGACTGCCAGGGTGTCTGTCACCGCACCGGTGTGGATACCGGCATTCTGAATCATAGATTATTCTTTTTGGAAATATGACCAACATAATAATTTTCACCGGAAAATGTCATCTGAACTAGTAAGAAACATCCACTTTTGTTTTAGTTCTGACATTTCGGTAAATCGCGCTGATTAAATCTAACAATCGCTTATAATATCATGCAAAACCATGCAAATTATACTTTGTTCTCAAATTGTTCATGTTAACAACATCAGCATGTAATGTCCTTCTGATATGTATCCTTTTTCGCATGGGTCTGGTTGTAGGGTCTGTATTTTTCCACTCTGAAGTCTGAACAAAGTCTTTAACGTTTTACAACTGGTAAATCTCCAGTTGTCACTGGTGATTGTCATTTGAACCTTTCTGGATCCGCTATCAAATTGATAAGTTTAATTATATCAAGTGCTGTGAGAAAAGGCTATCTCCACCTCTAACATCTTCGAGCCTACTAGCCGAGACTCCTTCTTTATGTGTACAGATGTGACGTAATGACGCCAAGACATGCTCGAATCTCCCGCGGAAATCCACCATTACCACTAGAATTAAGAACATTATTACGAGCTTACCATTTTGAATTGAGCTAAGGCAAGCAGATAGTTTTGAACACTGGCTGGTTATGTATTTTCTCAAATATGTATTTTGGATCCTTTTTAACCCAAAAAAAAGCTACAGACTGCAGCTTCAAGAATAATATTTTGTGTAAATCGTAGACACCCCTCCCAATCACTGTTTGCTCAGGTAAGTGTTTACCAAGTGAATCAACTTTGTAAATAGAAAATTGCTTCATTCGTTTAAAACTCTGTTATTTCTACGTTTTGCTAAGTTATTTCTCCAGCACTTTTGTAATATTTGTATTTTTAATAATGAATTTAACCAGTATCACTAAAGAAACAGAGAGTAAAATTGTTGTTATTAAGTTTTCCATATGGGTTTGTGCTCTAAATTAAATTTTAAATTGTTTTATACATGTTTTTAATTTATTAAAAATAATTGTTTCTATGGAGATTGCCAATAATTAAGCCCCATGAGGTTTTTTGGCAATTGTCCATCACAATTATTATTATTACTATTATTATGTGAAACACATCTAACGCCGTTTTAATGTTTGTTATGAAAATAAATAAAAGCCACCTAAAATAAAAAGAAAGAAAGAAAGAAAGAAAGAAAGAAAGAAAGAAAGAAAGAAAGAAAGAAAGAAAGAAAGAAAGAAAGAAAGATCTACCATATATACAAATAAATATTATTGGTCTACTTTAGAACTAAAAATGTGTTAAAATATAATAATATAACGTTTGTGTGCAGCTCTTTACAACAATCTATTTATTTTCCACAAGGTTAATCTTTTCAGCATGGAGAAATTCTGTGAAAATCCATTCTCGTATCCCTGACATGGGGTTGGGTGGAGCCAAACCTCTGATGTACAGGAAATGCTATCACTACCACTGGTACTATTTAAAGCAGTCTATATGGCAGCCCTTCTATTTAAAAGCTTAGTCTAACCCCACCCAGACATTTCCAGGGTCACTAACAATTGGTGTCAGCAGAGCAGAGAAGTCACATAATGGGTAATGACACAAGATAATTGTTGTTTATTAAGGAACCATATAAATAATGAGCAAGAACATTTAACGATCGAAAATATGGTTACAATATACACCACATATGCAGTTAATGTGCATGAGGACATTTAGACTGCACTGCATGCCATTGAGATAGCAAAAAAACAACACTATCTGCATCTTGAAGATATGATAAAGCAAAAGTTGTAATTGTATTATGAACTTATAATATCTTTGGAGTCATGAGGTAAGAAACATCAATAGTGTCAGATTCTGCCATGCTTTTGTAATACTTAAGTATTTAAAAAAAATCTGTTTTTGGGATCCATATACCTGACATTTATTTTTATAATATTTATTTTTATTTTATTTATTGTACATAAGATTTGGGTAGTCTGGGTTGGAGACGAGAGGAAACCCATAGAGTTTTACATGAGGAAACAATTAGAGGTTAAATAATTCTTTCAAATTATCCCTGTGATATAACAAGTTGCACAGTGAATTAACTAAATGAAAGGAAGATGCAAAAGAAATAACTTGTGAACAAACACCTGATATATGATCTTTGACTCAAACTATCCAAGAAAGCCTTTCCACTCTTCTCATCCTCAGAGACAAGCTTAACCCAGTCTTACACGCATATCTTACTAAAACGATATTTTTTCACAATACATCAAGGTGGATTTGTCAACTCCAACCAAACATAAAAAAGAAAAAAACTTGGGAGTTGAAGCATAATTTCGAAAACACTGGGTGAAGTGGATTACCTTCCTATTTTTTACACCTTCAGGTAATCCAGGCATGGCTAACCCCACTAAGCCTGTGCTAGCTACACTTAGAGATTCACCTTTATGTCACAGCTATTTGAGGCTACAGTGATTGTCGCTGTCACTTTTTGCTATAGCGTTACCTAACACCTAGAGCCCTGACATCTGTCACTTGCACAAGTTTGGTTTTCTATTGAGATGGGGACCTTCACAGACTTATAGTTTTTATACAGAGCAAATCATCTCCTACCCCTAAATCTAACAGACACAGAAATGATTCTGCAGTTTTAGCTTTTTGAGAAGATTTTATTTATTATTTAGGAGTTTCCTCACAATATTAGAGTTTCTAGCATCCTCACAATGGAGATTTGAGACCCAAATAATACAGTATTTTTCTTAAATATCGCCTAATGTGTATTAAAATACCTAATATGTCATTCACACTGAATGAGGAAGTAGCAAATGGTTTGTTCTGACGTTTCACATGCCAATAAATTGCATAACACATGCTTATAATCCAAATACCAGAGGTGGATGACACACATATGTATCATTCAAGGTAAATTTTACAAACAAATTAGGATTAAATCCCCTTAATTTAGCACTATTCCTCCTCTTTCAACAATTACATTTGATCCAGCATGTTTGTGCATCAGAAACGCCACCAAGCGTTCGTGCAAAAGGAAAAATAACAATGTTTGGGAGCAGGTGACATGATACTGAGTTTATCTGATCCAGTGTTATAAATAAATTATGTTCTCGTCAGGCCGACAGTTACATAAAAACCTCCATCGCACATGTGAAACAAACCATTTTCTCCCTCCAAAACACAGCTGACAGCGGCGTTCACATGCGCACACTAAACTGCACACATGAACACCTCCCTTTAAAGAAATGGCCTTGAGCGGACACATGATTAAAAATGAGTGCTGCGTTACAGCATGATGTGTTCGTTTCTGTGTGTGAGAACTCCACATACAAAGAGAATTCTGAGGCGGCCAGCTGGGCACATAAGCCGTAACTGCAAAATCCAAATAATCCTTTACAAAGACAAGCCATCTATAAAGGGGGGGTGAGGCAAAAGCACAAAGAAACAAAAACAGCATATATGCCTGCTATTGTACATTAGAGTGCATAAGCGTGCGTGTGTACACATGATATACATTTATGTGTGTGTGTGTGTTGATGTGAGTCTATGTTTGAGATATCCAGCACCTTCAGATCTATATTGAGTTACCGGAACGTCAAGCCACTCAAAATAGCCGGACAGCTTATGGCATTTAAAGCAATCACACGCCGGGCCGTACACGCAATGAGAGGCAAACAGGAGGTAATAAGATAAAAATAGACCAAGCCCTCACCTTCCATCATGATTGCAGATTTGCATTCCTCTATCTCCAAGGAGCCTGAAACGGGAGGAGGGGAGGAGAGAAGCCCCTGGTTACCAGATGAAGAGATTGAAAAAACAAAAAAACAGAGCCCACTTCCAGCCTCCAAAACCCTTAGGTTTAAAGTCCCCGTGTCCCTCGTACGACGGGCCGTCGGTTGTTTTAGGCCTCCGTGTTTAGGCCATGGATGCTGCTGCTAGTCACTGCGGCTGTGGTCTACACGATTACCAAAGGATGCTCAAAAGGGGGCAGGAAAAAAAGCAGAGTGGAGAGAGACAGAGAGAGAAGGAAGGAGGGAGGGAGGGAGGGATGGGGAGAGAGAGAGAGAGAGAGAGAGCGCTGCTGGAAGGGAGGCTTGCTGAGGTCATCACTCAGCTCAACCAATCCTGTGTGCACTGCTGCATGTCACATGGCGAGTGGTTCAGCGCTTCTGTCTGTGTCCTCACTGGGAATTCACATGCAGACACACACAAGCACACACACACACACACACACACACTTGCACACAGCTTACCTTGTTATGGTGCAGCATGTCGCTCCTGCCAAAACAGAAAGGAACTGGATTAATGGTGCATTGGGTGCCACACAGCTAAATAAAGAAAACTTCCCATGTTAAACACACACAGACGGAGATACTGTCACACTTTGAGGCTCAGCTGGCGGGCCGTGCCTGCCTCTCTGTGACAAATCAATCAATGTGACATTACATCTGACAGAAACAGTAGCTGCCCCATGGAGGGAGGAGCCAGCCCTCAATACACTTTGAGTTGTGACAGAGTAGGAGGGGAGGAGAGAGAGAGAGGGAGAGGCTGTGTGTGTTTGTGTGAGGACTGGTGATTCATTTTATATGAGGAGGTGGGTCTCCCCTTTTGGATTACTAATGAAAAAACAACAAAAAAGGTGTTAGGTGGCCTGACAAAATGCTTTTTCTATCCCAAAAGCATAAGCTGCAGTTTTGATCCAATTTTAAAAAGGGGCGGATGATTTTGAACTAATTAAAACAATACATGTAAAAAATAAATAAAACTGTGAATGCAAAATTAAACTAAAAGGCTGTGTTAAGGTGATGCAGTAAGTGTAATATTGTGAAATATTAAATCAATTAAAACCAGTTTTCTTTTATGTTTATATTCTAAAATGTCATTTATTTATTTATTTATAACTGTAATGGTAAAAGTGAATTTTCAGCATCATTACTCCAGTCTTCAGTGTCACGCACACCTTTGAAATCATTCTAATATGCTGATGGGATCAAGAAATGATAATAATTATTATTATTATCACAGTTGGAAACCATTGTGCTGCCTAATATTTTTGAGAAAGCCATGTTTTTTTTGTTTTTTTTTTACCCTGAAATGGCAAGCTGATGAAAATAAATTATACAAACATATGAATGTTTTATCAGTATTACGTTGTTGTTTTAAACTGGATATCTATCCTAGAATAATAATAATAATACAAATATGAGTGTATTCTGTGGCTATTTTTAACCCTGACACACTCACACTCAGCCAGGCTTGGATAAGACAAGAGACACTGTTTCATTCTCAAGCTTCTGTTCACCCAAGTCATGCTCTGGTCCATGTGAGCGTCTCTTCCCGTTATCGTTGTCTGTCTCTAGCGCCCTCTGTCTGTAGTCTACTGGCCTGAAAGCAGCGTAGGCCATTCATTTCCAATTATTTATGTTAAAAAACACAAATTTCAGTTTCAGTTTTCAAATTACATTTATCTTCTTCTCAATCCTGAAAATATGGTCAAATCTTTAGTCAGAATTATTCCTAAACTACACAGTCTGCCCTAAAACAAAACCCACCCACACTATTAAACCTCCCTATTATAGCAGATGCTGCCTGTGAATATGTCCCCTCCCCCAATCCATCCATTTTAGCCAATTTCACCCCACCTCTATAACCCCCTTCACCTCCAAGAGGACCAGATTTTATCCGTCCAATGTGCAGGTGCACAAGTGTTTGCGTCTGTGTATTTACAAGATGCTAAATAAAGCCTTAAGGTCTAATCCTCATGTTAATGCAGTAAACTATAAGTATAACTAATATAAGCACACTTATATTAGTACACTACTATACTAATATAAGTACATACTTATAACTAATTGTACAAACTAAAATGACATGATTTTAGTCAGCTTGTCACTATTAATCAGTAGTTCCAAGAAAAACTGTCTGCTTTCATAACTGTCCAGGTATAAGTATATATGAAGAGTTCAGATGCAAAAGCCTCTAAATGCCATTTGAAATGTTCTTCTTTAATGATGATTTTTATCGAACTTGTATATTTAAGTTCAGTAATTTCACTTAAATGGCAATGATAATTACCTATTAATTGTTATTTAAGTGAAATTACTGAACTTAAATATACAGGTTTCATGAAAATCATCATTAAAGAAGAACATTTCAAATGGCATTTAGAGGCTTTTGCATCTGAACTCTTCATATGTATAATCAGGAACAACCCTAACTAAAGGCATGTTATTGCTGTGTGCAATATTATTAGGTATAGATAGAGTTTTTAAAAATCACATTGTTTTCCATTTTGATATACAAATATTATGGTTAACAGTGTGGAGACTAAAAGACTTTTTAAAAATTTTAAATGAATTATTTCAAATAATGTTGTCTATATTAATATATTTTAAAATGGCATTTATTCCTGTGATGGCAAAGCTGAATTATTGACATTACGCCAGTCTTCAGTGTCACGTGATCATTTAAAAATCATTCTAATATGTTAAATTTGGTGCTTAAGAAACAAGTATTATTATTATAACAGCTGAAAAAAATTGTGCAGATTAATATTTCAGTGGAAAATGTGTTATGTTTTTTTTTTTCAGGATTCTTGATGAAAACAGAAAAACGATAGTGCAACTAAAATAGAGAAAAGTACTGTATATGCAGCACACATGAGGTTAGAATTGAATGCGATTAAAAATGCTACATGTTCAATAAATGATCATGCGCATCTTCTGAATTCATCTCTGTACTGCATTACAAATCCTGAATCATCAACAAGCAACCACCAACTTCTGTCAACATCCTCCCAAACTCGCTTCGGGGGAAAAATATTTGTCAAAGGATATTTGTGAGGAAAAGGTAAAAGGGTTGGGTAGGTGTGTAAACACACACCTACTTTCATGGACATAAATAACTCAAATGAGGGAGGAAAGCTCAGGGAAGCAGACAAAAACAATAAACACGGTGTTGCTGTTTCAGAAATCATCCTCTATCGCCTCATTCACTGTTCCCTACTGTATGTGTGAATTCAGACTTTGATACTGGAGAGGTTGTCACAATGATTACATGTAATGAGACACTTCTGTCTGTTTACTTTTTATTGTGGTGTATTACGTATGGAAGCCCGTTTACGCCACAGTTGAGTAAAAAATATAATTCTGTAAGTCATGATAATGAAAAGCTTTATTGTAACAATGACTTGACATCTCATAATAATGAGAAACTTTCTCGTAATAATGACTATTTTTCTCGCGCTTGTATGCATGTGAAAAACAGCCTGAGCAGAAGGGAGTGCCACGCTAGCGACACCTGCTGGCCAAAGCTGTGTAAATGCATCACAGCAAACATGGCACATTCCGCAGCGAATAACGTTAACAAATGATCAGTATATGAGACCTTCCATACTAGATAGTCTTTTATTAATTTGTAATATTCATTTGCATTTGTTTGTATAAACAAGCAGCAACACATAGGGTGATCCATGGATTTCAAATAGATGGATGAATGATAAGACAGCACACCTTTCCAAATCTGTTCATCTGGAAATCTGCACAAACATATTTTCGAACAGTTTTGTTTTTACATAAGGGTCCGTTCATACAAAACACTCTTTTTCAATCCATTTCGCTGCTTTTCCATTGCCTTTTTTTTTTTTGCCAGCGTATTGCGCATACTGCACATTCACTATATAAAATTCACTGGAGGAACAAGTTCACGTGGCCGTTGTCAGATTTGGAAGTCACTCAAAAGGCTCTTTTACGGTGGCTTCAGTCAACTTTAGTGTGGCGTGGTGGTTTATGGGAGGAGTAGTTCCTTTGCTCGGAAATGAAAATATAGAGGCTTGTACCCTTGACTTTTTTTGGATTTTCTCTTCGTTTTTTTTCACTTGAAATGATATGTTGTATGCTTATAAGTTCAGCCGTAACTGGTTATCCTCAGACATGCTCTAATACTCTTTAGATATGGATTTTACAAAATGTCAATGGGAGAAATGAATGGGAAATTTTCTTCCGGCACCAACGGTCTCTCAGGCTGTGGGAGGGACTGTGATACTCTATAGAAAAGAAGTTTAGCGTTTAAAAACACGTCTCAAGACCTTGTGTTTTCACCCATTCCACTGCCCACTTATTTGTAAATGTCTTCAAAGTCATACACATGTTAAAAGGTGATTTCTGTGGCCTACTGAAATCTTCCACCTGCGCATAAAATATCCTAGACGCCACTGCAAAATATGTGTTATATTAACACATATACCCATATATTTTATGAAGATGTAACGAATAAATGTAATATTCCAACTTTAATCTGATAGTTTTGTAAGTTAGTGAGTAACACAATTTCCATCGGTGTGCACAAGCATCCTTCATTACCACGGTAACCGTTCTGTTTCTGTTTCATAAAAATAAGTCATTATTATGAGAAAATTACTAATTATTAAAAGGATAGTTCACTTTGAAATTAATTTTTGATATGTTTTAGCTATTGTCTGTCAGTCATATAATGGAGGTTTATGGGGTTCACCCTGGGTCCACCTCAAAGAGCATGCACAATGAAGTCCAAACTAAACACGATTTAATGACTCGTAAATGTAAGTACACATTAATGGTCTAAGACACGAAACGAGCGGTTTGTGTGAGACAGTATTCATATCGTTTTTACCTCTTGTAATCACAGTCACGTCCAAGTGATCTGAGGGCAAGGGCGCTTCTATCTGCGCAAGCAAGCCGGAAAGCCCCGGAAGTGATCTCTCGCATGAGTACGTCACTCATTGTTTACACAGAGATTTCAGAAGTGTTATCCTTCACTGTGAAGATCTAAACATATTTAGATATACAGGAAATTGCAATGGAAGACGATTTCGATATATACACAGACAACGTTGATTTTTTTCCGCAACCGCGCAAGAGATCACAAGAGGTCAGTGCGCGGGTGCTATCGTACCCAGTCCCTGAAAACGTGTTCAGGGGAAGTCAGGAAGGCTGTCGAGGGGAGCAAAGTCTGGTTGGGACATCTATCAAGACCTGCTCCACTCCTGACCTGGCACAGTAAGGTGCACAAAAGACAGGAGCACTGCTCAACACTACATGTGAAGAACTTCAGGAGCATTTCTGCTCAACACCTGAGTGTGATGAACTTCACTGAACTTGAACCTAGCGGGCACCAGGCGACAATAAATTGCAGACGCTGTTTAGGAGGCTCACTGGGGAACGCCTTTCTGCGGAGCCCTGGGGACAGCTGAGAGCAGTGTTTGTCCAAGGGATGTCCACTCAGACAGAAATAACAATTGGCAGAGGGAGGACTCCAGAGAGGCAAACAGACGTTACTGTGTGGCCCCAAGAAAGTTCCTGCCCAGCTGGACCACCAGGGGATAGAGTCTCTACTCTCCCTGGCCAAAACTGTCATAAGGCTCGATTAAGCAAGCTGGAAGAATAGTGGAATGAAGCGTCCACAGAACCTTCTCACTCCAAGGAGGTGGTGACGGGTGAGTTGTGAGATGTGAGGGAAGTGAAGGGCAACGGTCGTGATCATACCAGTACCAGCTCGCTGAGCAATGATGGCTCAAAGTGAGGTCGAACAGGCCTCTGTTAAAGAATGCCCTTTGTATATGGCCCCTCAGACAGTGTTAGTAGACCTCGTTCTTGGAGCAGATTGGCCTGAAGAAACAAAAGGTCTGATCACGGACTGAGGGTTTGGCGGCAGGCCGGGGTGATGTGTTGTCAAACATGGCATGCCGATCCGCCACCGTCACCTCAGGACTCAATCATGAAGCTAGTGCTGTAGCGGTCTTCATATGGAGGAAGCCAAGAGTCTGCATCTGCCATATGCCCCAGGAGCCTGTGAAAGTTCTTTCAGTGGGACCCTTTCTCACTTCTAAATAGCACGTGTTGGAGTCCTTCTCCAAACTGAAAAATAAATACTCAGCCCAAGGGCGAGATTACTCTCTTCCAGGCGACCTGAAGACCCAACTGGCTATAGAGCACTCCATGGATAGGACCTGATACTTCGCACCTTCGAACGCAAGAACACAAAATGATCTGTGGAGGAGAGGGATCAAGATCAGAAGTACTGTCCTTCAGGTCGAATGCTGCAGGTCATCTACGGGACGGAGCATTTGGAAATGCATCTGTGTTAGCAACTGAACAGAGGCTTTCGAAAAAAGGGCCCGTTTCAGTTGACAGTTCTAAGATGGCCATAACCCACCGCTCTAAGTTTGAATACGGGTTTATAGAAACCAGTTTTCATATCAGCTGGAGGAAAGGCTACATCGCATCCTTTGCCAGTAGGACTGTGACGTGCACACCAGTGATGCGCGGGTCAATGTATAAACAACCCGCAACCGACCGACGTTTTCAACTACCCGCCCGCAACTCGGACCGCAAAAAAAAAAAACATTGTACTCGACCCGCTTCCTGACCGCATTTTTTTAAAGTAGTAAATGCTCATCGGAACGTTATTGGGCCATATAGACGTGTAACAACACAGCATCGCAAGAAGACGTAGGCCTACACATAACAAAGGCAAAGCCAGCACTTTGGTCATCATCTTTCATTATTTCAGCAAATGTCTCCCACACTTTTACTCTTTCTATTTGTGTGTTTACGGAGCTTCCACTCCCCAGTCTTCACCTTTTCTCTTGCCGCCTCCATCTCTCTGCAGACTGTAGTGATCATCGTAGACACGGCCGGTTCGTGAACGAATCGATCTTTTGAACCGGTTCTTTTTCGTGAACCGGTCGAACCAGTACACTCGAACTGAATCGTTCTGGCGTCTTGCGTCAGTGCTGATCCACAAGTTACTAAAGTTACTCACTTTCAGACATGCCTGACAGTCGCCTCCGAATCGAAATAAATCAATATCCTGAATTATATTTTACTCCAGTAACTCCAACAGTTCACTGAACCGAGACATGTTGCTGCCACTGTTGAGAGAAGTGATCAGCACGAGCAGCTGATACTGCGTATACCGAACGCACAGGCACAGCGGTTCTCGAATCACTAGTATAGAACCGAGAACTGTTTAGACTGAGCTCGTGTGTTATCTTCGTGCCAGTTATTCAGCCAATAATGTGTAGGGCTGTATATTTCATCAAAAACTGTGTCTAGTACTATATACAAATGTTTAATTGGCATCTTTTTTTCAAACGACCCGACCGACCGCGACCCGAATATCATTAAAAACATTTTTGGATGACCCGTAACTGCGGGTAACCGCGGGTGACCGCAGGCACCCGCTCATTTCGGATCAACCCGCGCATCACTGGTGCACACACAGAACAGGAGCAATGCTCAACACGTAGGTGTGAAGAATACCGCTTCTCTTATCTACAGTACCAGGTTGAGCCGCTCCACTGGAAGGATAGCCTTGTAACCCTTCACCGCTCCCCCATCAAGGGTAGCCAAGGGGGGAGGAGCTACTCAGGTAGTTTCTGGCAGAGAAAGGTGCCATTCATGCCCTTGTCAACTCCTCATGCACTTCAGGAAAGAAAGGAACCGAAGCGGCGGGCTGAGAACCAGACCGACCCTCTCAGATAAATCAATCATCCAACCGAGACGGTTTGGGACATGGTCGGGGATTCCACACAAGCCCTACTGCCTCGGTGGCCTTTTTTAGCATAGCTGCCATCTCTGGATCCAGCTGGATCCAGGTCGGGCAAAGCTGATCTCCCAAAGGGAGGCAGCACAGCCAAGTCATCATCTCCAGAGCCCAGCTCCCCATCCGATGCTGCGACGGACATCCTGTCCTCTGGAGGGGCCCCGAATGAGATAGCTGGTCGGTCCACCACATTGGGACCAGCAGGCTCATCGCAAGCTCCACTGGCTGCGGTGCAAGAGAGGAGTGAGGGATCCACGGGGCTTTGCCGCATGGATTACCCATCACTGTGATCCTCATGTCACCCAACCCAGATGGCACTCCAGAGCTCTTCTGGGAAGATAACCCAGAAGGGACACTAGAGCGGGGCTTGGGGATGTGAGACTCGACCTGGAGCACCGAGATGGTCATATTTCTGCAATGGGAACATGACTCATCTACAAGAGCTGCCTCAGTGTGCTTTAAGCCCAAACATGTGAAACAACTTTCGTGACCGTCAGAGGGGGACTGAGCCCTACCGCACCCAGAAACGCACAGATGGAATGGCATCTTAAAAATGACGCAAACGCACCCGTGTTGCTCTTTCAGAAACGTGACCCGTCACCAGTGCCGGAGCACACAGGAATGACCGCGTCAACACTGAATTCAGTGAACTGAAAACGGTGAGGCATTCACTTTTTCACCCTCAACCAGGCATCAACACACACACAAACACAAAAATTAGCTTGCTGTTAAAACAGCAGTCTAGAGCTCAAAGCTCACGACCACCACTGCACTGCACTGTAGAAATCACCCGCACTGGGGAAGTCTTTCCAAAAGAACACCGACACACTCGCTGGTTGCAATCAACAGCACTCTTCAGAGACATCAATACGAACGGCTCCGAAGCGAAAGGCAACTAATGCGTGCATACACTTCCGTATTTATACCTGCTCGCAGGGGCGGAGTGTGTGTGATGCGGTTCACGCAATGCCATATTACATTGGCTCGTTCAATAGTACTCAAAGAACATTGGCTCTTTGACGCGATCCTCGCTATCCCCATTCAGTCGACCGTTGAATACGTCCAACGTTATCGACTGAAAGGGAAAAAATTTAAGGTTGTTACTATAATATAATATTATAATTATAATAAATATAATATTACTTGATATAAATAAGTTCATGACCTCTCAAGCAAGACATGATAGTTGTACTTATCTTGTATGTTATCAATCTGTACCTCTAATGCTTTAAAAAAAAAAAAAAGTCATGTACCATATTCATGGCAAGTGGCACCAAAAACATTCAGCATACTGTACTAGGCTATACAAAAATAGCACATCAGTAACAGGTTATTATGAGAGGGAAAAGGATGATATTACCTCACCAATGCAATTTCAATAACTATCCAGTGAGAGGTTTTTTAGTCATCTTTGTCAATGTCCATGAGAAGCAATCAGCAGCGTCTCTTGGTGCTAAATAAAGAGATGAAAGAGAGTGAGATGGAGAGTGTCAAAGAAGCTGAAAGCAGATAGACAGCAAACTAAAACATGAAAGAACTGGAATGAGAGAAGTCCAATTATTTCTCTGCAGAGGACAAACACTAGAAACACAGAGAACACGGGAACCCCAGCAGAATACACACACATACAGTAAAACAACAGATATAAAACACAACACACACAGAGATGGTATCATTTAAATATTTATGAATAAATCTTATTATACAAAACCATTTACATTAAAAAGGAACAACCTTTTATTCAAAAATCAGCTGTTAATTGTTATTATTTTTTTATTAAAAAGTCCTGTAGCTCTGACAGAGCATGAAACTAACAACAGTAATTTTAAGGATTTCATTCTCAAAATATGAATGTTAAATTCACTGTAGGTTGTTTTGGATAAAAGCATCCAAAAGTAAATAAATATAAAATAATCTGCCCCCTGTTGTTGGCTGCATGTTATTGCATATAATGTAAATAGGAACAGGAAAAGCTGTGACAGTCCATGATAATTTTGCTTCGGGGTCTGTTTTAGCAGATTCATGATGTGTCTGTTAAAGATTTCAGTTATGTAATACAGCTCTCTGGACATGTCAGAGTCAGTGACACAGTGTGTGTGTGTGTGTGCGCGCGTTAGTTAATAATATAACCAACTTGGACAGTAACTTAAAAGGTCATGTTCCTTTTTACACTTTTGTTTATTTGAACCTGTAATTTAATCATTTAAAATGCATAAAATTTTGTATTCATAATTCAAGTACATTTGAAAAAAAAAAAAAAAAAAACTCTCCAATGACTTGTTTCAATAAAGTGCCAGTTTATGGGTTTAATTTGCTAAAGTAACCTGTAAATATTTTCAACATAAATTTAGAAAACTTAAATAAAACTTATATAACAGAGTACACTGTATGTAATACTGACTGTATGCCAATATGCAATGCACTTGACCTGACCTGACAGTCTGGCAAATGTCTCATTTACCGTATATGACTGGACTGTAAAATAAATAAATAATCATACTAAATTATAAATGGACAGCACTGGCAACAACTTAGCATCCCACTGCTCAAAAATATTAATGAATGGTTTCATATTGCTTGCTGCTTCAAATTCTTATACATAAAAAAGAAGGCAACACTGCCACCTTGTGTTAATCAATGACATGAGACAGATTTATTCCTATTTCCTCCTGAGTGAATTATCTAGGAAAACGAATGCATCACACAGTATACTGTATACAGGGAAAGATGAATCTACAATTTAAGGAAACAGAAATGGTTTTCCTGATATAAAAAATAGCTGAAGTGAGATTTACGTTTTAAAACAGTTCAAAGAATACAACAGATTTTGCACATCCATACATGTCCACTGGAAACTAATTAAGGGAATTGTTTTGATGCCGTTCTTATTAATTCAGCCTAAAATACTTCTGTACTTCAGTTATGTACAGATGAAAGTGAATTTTTATGCCAGACAACGCCTAGTTATTAGTGAAAGCCACATACTTCTTTTAAAACACCTCTCAATGTTTCATGAGAGAATCATGTTATGCTGACCCTATTCTGTCATAACAATATTTGGGGCAAATATAATGGGATGGGGGGGAATTTAACAGAAAGACAGTACAGCAAAAGACAAAAGTGTGACCGTGAAGACATCCAGCTGTGATATTCTCAAGTCTTCCCTCTGTCTCCATCATCCTGCTCTCCTACATCTCAGTTTTTCTCCTGCATGTCTCTCCTCCTCCACATTCGCTGACCTATTTTCCCCCTCCAGTGTTTTTTTAGTCTCCAATAGATGGCACACAGGCTCTGGGTGTCTGGATCATTAGTCTTCACGTACACACACACACACACACACACACACGCACAAACTGATTTAGAAGCAGGCGAGTCCATGTGTTGGGTGTGCACCTGTTAGGCCTTAATTGTGCAGTAAATGGCTGCTTATCTGAGGATCTTCTGAGGGTGTGCTCTACTTGTAAACGTGTAATTCTGCCATGGTCCTCCAAGAGTCAAAAATGGGTCCTCAAGTGCTGCTGAGTTCAAAACCGCCCACGACCGCCCTTCTCACTGGGTGTGATTGTCCCTCAAGACAAAGTCCACCCATAGGCGTTCCTAAATCCCTATTTAGAAGGCCAACATCTAGCCAATGGTGATCACAGGAGACATAAGGGGCAATGTTTGACATGTGCACTGGTTTCTCATCTAAACACTGTCAGTTGCAGGCAAATCACCAATAAAATGTAAACTACAACAAACATATTTCACTATTACTGGTATATGTATTATGTATTATATAATGTGTAACACATTTTATCATTTTAATCTTTTTTTTTAAGATTTAAACTTACAACATTTCACAGATTTGTATACAGTACATTAATAATTAATTAATTAAATAACGTGATGCTTAAAATTACTCGTAGCACTTCAAACGATTGGTTTCACAGTAGTTCTCTGTGTTTTTTTGTAGTTGTTTTTTTTTTTTTTTTTTGGGGGGGGGTATACTTTTATTCAGCAAGGGCATAGTTTTATTCAGCAAGGGCATTTTTAGTGACAGTAAAAACTTTATCATTGTAAAAAAAAAAAAAAAACTCTCTCAAATAAATACCGTTCTTTTGAACTTTCCATTTATTAAAGAATACTGAAAAAAAAAATTCAACACTGATAATAATAAAAAAAATGTTATTTGCGAATCAAATCCGCATATTAGAATGATTTTTTAAGGATCATGTTACACTGAAGATTGTAAGGCTGCTGAAAATTCAGCTTTGCCATCACAGGAATAAATTACATTTTAAAATATATTAAAACAGTTCTTTTAAATTATTATGATATTTCATAATATTGTTGTTTAGACTATATTTTGTTGATCAAATAAATATATCCTTGGTGAACATAAGACGTATTTCAGAAACATTTAAAAAAATCTTTTTGTCCCCAAACTTTTGAACGTTAGTTTATTTAAGCTAAAATATTTAAGTATTTGATAGCCATAACGTAATCACTTGTATCAAAAAAAAAAAAAAAAAAAAAAAAAGATTATATCTTCAAAAACTCACTGGCATATCCAAAGGGCAAATTCCAGTAAAAAAATAAATAATAATAATAATAAAATAGTTCACTATAACTTAAGTCAGAATTACAAAGGAGAAGTGTTTTTTGCGGGTCACTCACTGATATGAAACATAACTCAGGTAAACAACTTTTAAAATCATCAAAGTTATAGTCTTATGATGCTTAAAGGGATACTCCACTTTTTATTTTTTGGAAATAGGCTAATTTTATCACTCCCCCAGAGTTAAACAGTTGAGTTTTACTGTTTTCAAATCCATTCAGCCGATTTTCTGATATTTAGAAGAATATCAGTATCCAGACAGTTTCTGGTCTCATTGACTTCCATAGTAGGAAAAAAATATACTATGGAAGTCAATGAGACCAGAAACTGTCTGGTTACTGACATTCTTCTAAATATCAGAAAATCAGCTGAATACATTCGAAAATGGTAAAACACAACTGTTTAACTCCTATTTCCAAAAAAGTGGAGTATCCCTTTAAGAGTTCCAGTTTTTAGAGGTGTAAGTCTAAAAACTGTAACTTTTCTGTATTTTAAGATAGATAAAGATATTCATTTGCTGCAGATATGAAATGTTACGATATGCTCTAAAAGGTTGTCTAGATAAACTGCGTTTGGTCACCAAGAAGGCAGGAAGTGAGCTGATGAGGGTGTGTGAAAGTGTGAGATGACCCTTGTCCGTCTTCTACAGGGCATTGCTTGGCAAACGGCACGTAGGCAAAGGAGAGAAGCAGACGGGCACATCGCTAATCTGTGCCATCGCTTTGCAACAGGAATGTTGTTTTGGTTTGGGTCACTCCTGTAATCATCGTCGCTCATCAGCAACGGAACTAGAGTCAGGGTTACAGAAAGCTGAAGACGTGGGGACTTTCCACGCGTCCAGACGTGTCTAACAGTTAGCCTTCAGTTTTGGGTTCAAGAGAGGCTATGACTTCATGAGTGTGTGTTGATCTCAGTGCAAGCTAGTCTGAATCAGCAGTGCTTGTAAATGCTGTGAGGAGATACGGTAACCATCACGTTCTAGACTTGCGGATATAGTGAAATCGTTCTTAAGTCTGTCTGAAAAGTACAGACAGAAACGTCATTCCAAATCCCTGACTGACGTGGCCTCCCAGATTTTTTATTTCTCTTGTGCCTACTATAATTAAGTTGCACAATTTCTGTACTGTATAGGTTAAAAAAATGTGCTTATCTATAAAATTGGTAGAAATCACCAATTCACACGGATAAGTACAACAAACCCTTTCATTTCCTGATTCTAATACCCCTGACTTTTCTCATATTTCTAATCAAGTAAAATAATAAAAGCTCTTAATATAAAAAAGCCTATGATCACAGTATTAGCAGTATTCAATTTTAAAAATATTTTACACCTATTTCTATTAGTGTCAATAATCTCTAACATTGGTCTCAAAATGTCTCCAGCAATTCTCATATCTAATACATCTAGTAATTCTTACCATAACCAACTCATGCTATTAGTGATATATGTACAGGGAAAATATCTAATCAAACTGGCTGTTAAAAAATTAATCATGAATAATGTACAATGAACCAGGCATTATCACAAATAACCCCAGACAGGACCCAGACAGAAGCAGAGGAGTGTTGCATCAATCTGAAGGGGTTATTGAAATAACGACTGCCTGATTGCACATTATATTTATATGACGTGTTGGTGAATAAATAATTAAATGGTCATGAAGTACTGATATGTTGATTAGAAGTCAGAGAGCCTTGACTGCTTGCCAGAAACAACACTCAAATTTACAGTTTACAGGTCATTGTACAAAAATATTACACTACAGAATGCGGAAATCAACCAATCAGCATAACATGAACATATTGATATACTAAAGACTTTTTGTAATGTTCACTCACAGTATTTATTCATA